AAACATGCAAAATATAGCTCTATTAATGGCATCTTTGTTCATGTCAGTATCCTCATCTCCAGTGATGGGAGGGTCTCTCACAGGAGTAAACTGGTCATCATAAGAAAGGGTCGGATCTACTTGCGGAACAGGAGGATCACGTGGTGACATCGGATCGTCTATCGTAACAGAAGGTCGAGTGACTCGTCCTCGACCACGGCCACGTCTTTTCCTACGACCTCTAGCAGCACTCATCGTTGGATCTATAAGGCTCTACAGAAAGAATTTAAAATATATGTCAAATTAGCATCAGGGATCTCGAGAAAACTTTAAATCATAATATAAGGTGACATTTTTTTAAAAATTTCTTAAAAATCCAAAGTTTAGGACCCATATACTGTCCGAGTATTTAAAACCAAAAGCTCTGATACCACCAAATGTAACCCCACAGACCCGGTCTGTAAGTTAGACCCAAACCTAAGTGGTCACATATCCCATTCAGAGATTTTTTTTTAAATATGACTTATAATACATTAAATATAATACATAACAAAATATTAATAATACATATATATCCAAAACGATAGCAAATACATGTCACCAAACACAACTGAAAAACATATAGAGATATACTTTCGTACAAAATGAGTAGTTGATCTCCCCTGATGCCAAATCTACTAGCTTACGGTCTGTTGTTATCTAAAAAAAGGTAAAACTATAGAATGAGCTAAAAAACCCAGTGTGCTCCATACATTATATAAAAATATATACTAATAAAATATTTCAATAAAATTTGTTTATGCAACATGTTTTGGAAACATGAACACTACCCTCATTCTTTCACAATCTATTTGTGTAGGTTCCCGAGAACCATACAACCCGCACAACTAGTAAGGCCCTGAGCACACAGCCGAGGAGCCTGCAGATAATCTTCCTCCAACAATATTTCCCCCCAATGATAGTATTGAATATGAATGTAATTTAAGTAAAACAATGAATAATTCTTTAAAAACATAAGAATGTTTCAAGCTTGAAAACTATAAGCAAAAATACATAAATAAAAAAATCAAATCAGTAATGCATGATAATTCAGATGATGGGTAATCAGTATTCATAAATCGGTATAAAATACCGTAACCAGAAATCATATCAGAAATATGCGGTAAATCAGATATCAGATACACAGTATTAAGATATATATATACTTTAAAACAATAATGTAACACTGTCAGGAAACACACCTGTAACAGTCTGAAAAATCAGATAGGGAAGCTTATTACTGGGTTTGTCAATCACGCTCTGCTGCAGCGCTAGATCCTACGAATTGGAAAAATCTATATTGGAATCCTAATATAAATAATCTTAATTTTTATTTAAATAATAATATACGGAAACTTACGGGTAATTCTTGTAGTACGCGGTTCGAACTGATCTGACGAACGGACAACTCCGGACCTAACTGATCCTCGCTCAGGTGAAACACGAGTACCTTCATAAAATATTTTATTGAATCAATTCCTTAACCAAATCTCAAATAAATAATTAAGATACTAAAATACTAAGCTTTTTGGGTTCACATGCTCGATTCAGGGATTTCAGGTCAGAATTTGGCAAAACGAACTTCAGAATCAGATTCAAGACGTCGAAAAACATAAAGTGTGACCTTCCAAAATTTTGAATTCTTGGTCAAAATCAAAGTCAACGGGTTTGACTGACGATTTGGAGACTTTAGGGTTTGAATTTAGTGAAACATACCCCAAAAACAGATTTGGGACGTCGAAAAATGTCAGGATAAATATATACGGAAAAGATTAAAAGTCGTTTAATGACCGGTCAAAGGTGGTCAAAATATGATTAACCATTTTACACATTTATCACCTTTTTCTAAAATAATTACCAAAATATCACCATTTTAAAAATATTTACTAAAATATCACCAATTTTTTCAAAATTACGAAAATAGCATTTTTTAAAAATTACAAAAATAATACCCTTTTCAAAACAATTACTAGAATACCATCAGTTTCAAAATAATTACCAAAATATCACCCGGTCAACGGTCGGGTCGGGTCGGGTCAACGGTTCGAACTGGTCAACCCAGTTTAGACCGGTCAAACCGGTTCAGACCGGTCAAACCGGTTACAAGGCAACGACAGAGTCTTCCCCACGCGAAGTGGCGGCGCGTAGGACCTCCTCTGGCCTCCTATAATTCACGGAAAAATTCCTAAAAATTATTTTAAGCTATTTCGAGATACTTACAAAGCTCGGTTCAAATTTTTGAACGGCGGAGAGCTCGATTTCAACAAATCGGATACTTTGACCGTCTCATCTCCTCACGCGCCGCCATCGACGGAGACCAAGGATGATATCGGCGGACTCGGAATGGCACAAGGAACACGATGATGCGGGAGGTGTTGAAAACGGATCAACGATCGGCAGTGAATTTAAGATTTTCTCGGCGATTGTGCTAAAAAACGTCGATACTTTGACTTGAAATTTCCGGTGTTTGGCAGCGTTTCACTTCAATTAATTTAAGAGGTTTGTTCCTCGTTCGATGATGAACACGATGGTGGTTTCAAAATGACGATCGGAATTCGGACGGCGTCGGGATCGTGGTTGGAAGATGGTGTTGGGGGAGGCAATTTTGGGAGCAATTAGTTTCTGATTTTCAGAAACCGTATATAATACCAAACTTACCAATCATTCTAGGGTAAATTCAGGGCTTGGTCCCTGAATTTCCTTTAACTCTAAAACAAGCTATAAGTTTTAAAAACTTCCAATTAGTCCCCAAATTTCACCAATTTACTTAATTAACACCTCCAAATTCAATTAATTATTATTATTATTATTTTCAAATTTCCGGGTTGTTACACTTTGTATTTGTTTCCTTTGTGTGTTCGGAAGATAAACCATCATTTTCTTCATATTTACACCTATCAAAGTAAAATCATGTATTTTGAGGATAAATTAGGTTTAAGGAATGTAAGATTAGGTTTCGTAGTAAGAATACAAGTAGGAGTAGGAGTAGGGGTGCTTAATGAGTTAAATAGTTTGAATTTGAATTGGTCAAAATTTGGTAAAATTTCGATTTGAGTTGACTCGATTAATATTCCAGCTCGACTTTGATAAGTTTGTAAGCAACTGGTTAATATTTTTATATATAATTTTTTAGTATTTATCTTAAAATATTATTTCATTCAAAAAATTCACTAATTTACTAATAGAAAATGAAAAGTTGATAAATTTCTAATCTAATAATTTTATTAAAAAACAACAAAAAATACTAATTATTAATTAATATTTTACTACATCCAAAAATCAAACCTTGTTTATTATTTTAATGTATTTGTGGATTGTTACAAGTTTAGATTTTGAATTTGCTTCGTACTCATTTTTGATATTTTATTGGTTAAATTTATTAATTTATGTTTATATTAAGCCCTATATAGTATTAGTATATTTTACCTATAGTTCATAAAATAAGGTAAAAATGTTGATGTGCTTAACGAACAACGAGCTTAAAGAGCAACGAGTTGAGCAACAAATTTTTTAGTCGAGCACAAGTAGAACAAAACTTTAACGAGCTTAATGAGTAACGAGTCGAGTCTAACAACAAAAGTTTTTAACAAGCACGAGTCGAACATTGCCCAACTCACGACCTACTCGCTAGATAAGCACCCCTATATACAGGAATCTAATATTACAAGGTAGTTTGTTGGATATATTATATTATCTTATTTGATTTATTTGATTGAGATACAAAATTCAAATGTTTGATTTATAGAAAATATGATTACCCAAAAACAATAATGTTTGCATGATGTATTTGTGTCGTAAAAAACTAAGAAAAATCTAAACAAATACTGCCTTATAATCACCTAGATAAAAATGAAAGAAAATGGAAACTTATGAAATTATCAAAATATTACAAAACTAAATAATAAAAATATTACAAAATATAATACAATACTCGACCAATCAAAACCCAAATTAATACGCAATTTATGTAGGAGTAAACAAAATCTGACTCCATTTCAAAGAAATAAAATTTTAACTCGATTTAAAAGTTTTTAAATAAAGTTTGAATTATAAAATAGAACTGGAATAACTCAAAAAATTTAAAAATTAGTAGATTGACTTTTAAGTTCGAGTCAAATCTTTCAACTTTGCATGATATATGCGTATCACATACGAAAAAAATATGAAGCAAATTATGTATGTACATGATACATATTATAGAAAGTTGTTTAAATTAGTGTAATAACATTATAAATATTTACAATTAAGTTCAAACAGAAACTAGAAATATTCAACTCAACTCGAATTTCATAAAATCGAGTAAAAAAGTTTCAAATAAATATTACGTTATAAAATAAGACTTATCAACTCAATTAACTCGAAATTTTTTTCTAGTTGCCCTCCTGATTCCTCTAGGCTTTGCCCTGACTAGTTTGAATCGACCCATGTTGCACACCTAGTTTTTGTAGGTGAGCCTCCCAACGAAAGATTTTTACATACACTAACTCAAATTCGAGAACAAAATCAAGTTACTTACTACTTCACCAACTCCGTTAATTAACTCAATTTTTTTAGTTAACTTTATTTTCTTTTTATTAATTCGGAGTATATACAAGGCAATGTTTGTTCAAAGATAACTCTCAATCATTTGACAATGAAGGCTTACACCTATGACGTTCCTAGTGCTTGAACTCATAACCTTAAGAATTAATAGTGATTCATTTACCACACAGACACTTAATTCATACGACTTAACTTGATTCCATCGTATATTAAAGCCCTAATTGGTATGTGGATAGACATTTATATAAAAATATTTATTGTGCCAAATCTCCAATTTATTATGCCAGGTCAGTTGGTGGGGTCAAGTAAAAAGTGGCATTCTAGTAAATAACGAGTTAGTCAATGGCAATCTTCAAACTCTTTCTATCATTGCCTTTAAAATCAAGTTGCGCGCCATTCTCCCCTTCCACTTGAACAAACTGCAACATACCCAAAAAAAAAAAAAAAAAAAGCAAAACAAATGGCTAATCCCTCTGGTTTTCTCCTGGCCATTTCCTTACTCCTCCTCGGCACCACAACTCTCATCACCGCCGTGTCTTCCTCCGCTTCGAGCGGCTTGCAAGGCTTGACCTGGTTTCCGACGTCGACGACGAACGAGTCCGGCAGCAGCTGTCGGGGCGAGTGCATGGCGAACAACATGGATGATGATGGGCTTGAGTTCAACAGGCGCGTATTGCAAACGTCGAACACACAGTACATAAGCTACGGGGCTCTTCAGAGGGACACCACACCGTGCTCTCTGAGGGGCGCGTCGTATTATAACTGCCAGCCGGGAGCGCAAGCCAACCCCTACGACCGAGGCTGCAGCGCCATCGCTCGCTGCCGGGGTTAAAGGTTGTCCGCCGTCCCCTGTTTCTTCGTTTGTAAAATGGAAATAATAATAGCAATAAATGGATAACCTTAGAGAGTGTGAAGCTTCCCCTTATGGTGTGATGAAGATATATATAGTATATACATATTTATGCAGTATGCATGCATGTCTATAAGTTGTTGAAGAACTTCCCATTTATGTCGAGTCGGGTAATAATCTTTCTTTAACGAATATAAATTGAGTAAAATTTTAATGAGTTGAGTTGAATAATAAAATATTTTAACAAACATAAATTGAGTATTATAAAACTCGTGATTGACTCAATATACACTTATAATTTAGATAACAAAACACCGACATAAAAATTTAATTAAAAATTTAATATATTAAATCATCTTAATTTCAAAAAAGAAATTTTTTATCTCGTTTTAATTTCTTATATAAATTTAATATATATATATATATATATATATATAAATTTAAGATATACATATATATTAGATAGAATTTATTTAAAATTTTTAATCAATTAATAACAAATGCTTATACTAACAGCTCGAACTCAATAACAAGACAGTGACTGTCTTTTTTTTTATGTATCATAAAGTATTGATTGTTTATACGTTTTTTTGGGTGTACGTGGGAGGAGATTCTGGTCAACCCTGTTTTGTAACTGAAACACGCAATGACAAATTATGAACAAGACAGGAAAAATTGGGTAAAGTACACAAATGGTCCCTATTAAAGGGTATTGCTTTATTAAATTTCTCAACTATTAAAAGTTATAAAATGATCATCCAACTATAAAATATTATTTTGTTAAGTCCTTCTACTATTAAAAGTTACAAAATGACCATCCGACTATTCACTATGTTCCAAACTCGTATTTTTCCATTAAAAAATGGTGGTTGTCTAAGTCGGACCTTAACATGATGACTGAAATGTGATAGTCATTTGGATTCTATGATCAGATTTTATCATATCGCAATCATCAAGTTAACATTCAATTCAGAATACCATCAATTTTTAACGGAAAAGAATGTGTTTGGAACATAACAAATAATTGTGTGGTCATTTTGAAACTTTTGACAGTTAAGGGACTCAACAAAGCAACACTATATAGTCAGAAGATCATTTTGTAACTTTTAATAGTCGAGGAACTTAATAAAGCAATATCATATAGTCGATGGACAATTTGTGTACTTTATCCAAAAAATATTATATTCGTTTTAATAATTATATAAGTTTATAATTACATTTAACTAAAAATATATTTTATATTAAATCATTTTTTGAGATTAAAAATTACAACGTCTAAATATATATAATTTTAAAGTATAATTAAATGATAAACACTTAAAATATAGTTATTATCTATTTTAGGTATTTAAACTTTTTTTTAAATGCATGAATCATCTTACCTCAATAGTTGAAATAATGTTGTTTTTAGAGGTCACATGTTCGAGCACCAACGGCTGCAGTAGAGCGATTGAGCGTTATTTGTTAAATAGTTGAGAGTATTTAGAACATATACTATATATCTCTAAATTACATATTTATCATTGAATCCACCACTAAAATTGATCACCTCTTCTATCAATGAACTCTTATTAGTCGATTGTCTCTTGTCATCGCACGTCCGATCATTAATTTTCACCATCGATGAAATTACACTGTTCCTTGAACCCCTGATCGCACGCTCACCGCATGATCTTTGATCTTCAAAGAGATTTAGGGATTAAGGATTTGAAAGAATTAAAAAAATTAAAAAGATAAGATATTTTTAGAAATCTTAAATTTTAATATTGCTTACTTAAAAAGATAATATTAATAATATGATGTATCAAGTAATCATTAATTGACAATTTTTTTAAATATTTATCAAAGAAATGATCTCAAAATAGTAAATAGTAACGAACTGAATTTTTTTTTTTGAATGATAACGAAATGAAACTTTAGATACCTTAAATGGTGACAGAAAAAACGTTAGACATCTAGTTGGTAAAAATATATATAGATACAAAAAGACATAATTTAGATCTTATTATTCAATTAAGCTTAATTGTAAACCATTCTTAAGTATCCACCAAACAAATATTCAATTAGCTACTAAAGAATCTATTTAGACTTGGACCGATAAAAAATAATTTCAATTTTTGGGGGGTTCGAAATAAATTTTCTATACTAGCAAGGCGAAGCCTATGTACCCACTCGGCCCATGGACGTATAAGCCTATTTACCGGGAAATTCATAACCCATTCTAGGCTTTCATGAGCTATTTTACTATATCATGCATGTCGATGTCAATTTAACATGAAAACGATGAGCTATGACCTGAACTAATCTGATAAAGGTCGGATTTTTGGATGGGATCGGTTTTTTTAAGGGAGTGAGACTAGGCCGGGCCAAGGTTGTATAGAGGGTAACAAAAATTATTATTATTTTAATTAACCCTTATTTTAAAACAAATTGGGTTTAATTTATACTCTAAAAGTTTATCTCAGATCAAAGTGGATAAAGAACATTTTCGGATTGAAACATATAAAGTGAAATATATATAACTTTCAGATTGGATCGAATTCAGATAAAAGAATTCTTATTTTTTTTGGATCGGATCAAATTAACCAAAAATCCGATCCATTGTCTTCCCTATATATATTGAAGGTCATGTCGATTATACGTCAACGAAAGTGAAAATGGAATGCAAGTCCACGATGAACAAACGAAATGCTCACTTTGATGGACGGAAGGGATGGATGAAGACATCCCTAAAAATTTTAAATTCATATATATTTTAAATATCTTTTTGTATTTTCAATTAATAATCTGTTTTCTTCGTAAGTTTGTTCCCTTAGAAATTTACCTCTAACATAAGATCATGCATCCGTCCATGCTGCTCAGTGCTATCTATATTTGTGAACCACCCTGGTATATGGGAAGAGTATATTTTCGACACGAGTCTATTAATTCTTCCAGGTGTTTGAAGATCATGCCCATACCAGACACATATCCGATCGAACATGAATATTTAACAAGAATACGAAGAAAAAAAGAGTTGGAGAATCATTAACATCAGCCATTAAAAAGATAAAAGGTGAGAATCTGCAGAGCATGCTATCATCTTATTCCTTGCAACTCATCATCTCCTATTCCTCATTCTTAACCTCAGTTATCTAAAATAGTTCTAACCAAAGGAACAAGTGATAAAGAACGAGACTAATGATCATCGTTTAGTTAAACGCCTCATTCAACTATGCGTTTCTAAAATCGGAGCATCCTCTGCGATCTATTCTTTCCCTAGCAACATATTCGATCGACAATGTATCACCATGTTTAAAACATTGACAGAACCAAGTTTGCTGATTGATTTGCTACAAATACGAATCGCTGCGCACAAAAGTGTGGGCTAATTTTTCCTTTGGAAAGCATTGATTAACGAACTCATAACTTAAAGACAGATAAGGAACAAAAGAATACTATTTCTCCAGACCCTTTTTTTCTCTGAACATAATTAGGCCATGGAAAATTCGAATAAAAGGAGACGACGCTCCATACAGCAGACCAACAACGACTATTTCTCGAGACCTAAAACATAAGATTCTCACTGCATACACAACCATTTCAACATTCTATCCTATCACTTAGCATGATATGATATCATATGCCTATATCATCATCAAGAGGAGGATACCTCAACGGCTTTAAAAGCCGGATGAAGTAGTCCAAGCTCATCTTTCACTTCGAGCGGATTGTCGGTCTCGTTTCGAACTCTCTTAACCCTTCTACTACCCAAAGTTTTGTGAGCAAATCCATACATCTGAAGAATCTGATTATCCCCGAAATTGAATGCTCTATCCATCTGCTTCAAGCACCTCTCGACTGAGTAATCCCCGAACTTTCCGCAAGGTTTACACCCCACAAAGTGAGTCACCAATGGCCAACGATGATCGCCTAAACCTGGATGATAATTCTCAATCATTTCCTCATATCTATCAACCAAGATCCCCCAATAACCGTGCAAATAATAAGCATTCTCTAAGTAAACTTTATTACCCCACATCTCTCTTTGAGTAGCCAACAAATACACCATTGCAGACTGATCATCAGCTTCGAAAACTGGGCGATTCTTAAGTTCCCGGGTCAAAACCTTCCCTGCTTCTTCCCTAACCTTGCCTTTCGGACCCATCGGCGCCCAAGCATCGAGAATATCAAGTGCCCATTGTCCATTCCTCAACAAAAAGCTCCCAGTGTTTAGCCCAATCCAATTCTTTTGATCATAAACCATCTCATTCCAGCCGTGCATAACAAAGTTGGAGTCTTTATACCGTTCCCAAGGAACCTCAAACGCCATATCAGTAAACATGGCGTCACTGTCCATCCACCACAAGAATTCCACCTCCGGATGCGAGAGCAGAAGCTTTCGAATCAATGGTAATTTACCCAAAACCCTGCCATTTCCGCATCCAAAAGCGCCATGTTGTAAAATATCTCGATCCCGTGCAATCTACAGTAATCGATCTTGTTCTTGATCGATTTCAATAAATAATGATCGCCTACAGGGTTCTCACAAGGTTTGGGAGACGACCCAGTGACTAAGAGAACCCTCGGCTTATTGGGACCAATGAAATTCGGGTAATTAGGGTTTTCTTTTAGCCATCTAGATCGTTGTTCGTCCCAATCGGAGATTTTGGGCCCGAGAGAATAGGGGACGTTAGGGTCGCGTTTCGACTCGTCGGACTCCTCGTCGAGTAAAATCTTATTAATGTCAAACTCGTTGTAGTTGTTGGTACCGGCGTTCGTGTCGGCGCCGGAGTTTTCATTCGACGACGTCGTTTGGACTTCTTATAGGACGCGATGCGGCTCGACGCGTTTCCGGGAATAGAGGTGGTCGCGGATATCTGCGAAGTCTTGCCCCGGAGTACCGAATTTCCCGGCTCCGATAGTGCCACGTAGGACGACGACGGTGAGAACAAGGCAGAAGAGCGTGACCTTGCAGTGACGTAAAGCTCTACGGATCTTCCTAGATCTTTGAGCTCCCAAACAATTGTCTATCATATTCCGGTTCCTAGACCCGACCCGGTCTTAACTTCAGTGTCTATCAATGGCCGAATTGGAGAAGAGAGAAGTGAGAACCCTAGGATTTGGAATTTGGAAGATTTGTTAGAGATTTTCAGAATATTTTTTGGCTTTTTTCGGGGGATGAAAATGGCCTTTTTTTAATTATTCTTCAGACAGGAAATTTTTAACACAGCTGTCGGGACTCTACGCGGCGCGATGTGTCGGGGAGGGGTTTCTTTTGTCGTTTAAAATATTTGACAGCCCCTCGTTTTTTGTTTTTTAAACATATAATTATCGTTAAACGTTCCTGTTTTAAATTTGTTTAATGTAACTAAACATTTTTATAACTAATTAAAAATTAATTGACACCACTGTTTAAAAATATAATAAATTATATCATAATTTATTATATCATAAATAAACTTATAATTAAATTATTATATATTTTTATTTATATGAGGCAAGTACATAATATCTGTTCAAAAATAACTTTCAACCATTTGATATTAAATGTTCACATCTCTGGGTTTTTTTGTGTGCTCGTACTCAGGACCTCAAGAAATAACAATAATTCATTTACTATCGAGTCGCATGGTTCGTGCTAAATTATTATATTTCTAAAACTTACATCATATTATTTTATGTATAGATCAATAAAAAAATATTGGGTAAATACACAAATGGTCACCGATTATAGAGTTTTACTTTATTGAGCCCTCCGACTTTTAAAAGTTACAATACGATTTTTCAACTATAAATCGTTACTTTTTTAAGTTCCCTGGACTATCAAAGGTTACAAAATAGTTACTCGACTATTCATTTTGTTCCAAACTCGTTCTTTTTCGTTAAAAAATTAATGGCAGTTTGAATTGGACATTAACATACTAATTGAGATATGATATAATATGAACTTAGAATCTCAAACGACCATCATATTTCAGTCAATAGATTAACGTCCAACTCAAACTATCATCAATTTTTTAACAAAAATGGGCGAGTTTGTAAGACAATGAATAGTGGAGCGATCATTTTGTAACTTTTATTAGTTGGAGACTTAAAAAACAACATCATATAATTAAATGATTATTTTATAACTTTTAATAGGTCTATTATTAGTAGGGATTAATTTTATTGAGTGACTTTATATTTAATCACTAAATTATGAATAACTTTATATTTTAATCACATGATTTTAAGTTTCGAGTTATTTTCTAACAGAATTTTCAATGACTTAATAGACAAAACTTGTTTCGATATTCTTACAATTTTTTAACATATTCTTTATCACAGAATATATGCATTATAGATTTTTTTATACTTTAGAAAACAAAATTATTAAAAAATAAATAAATAAAGTGCATGCCGTTTGAAAAGGGATTTATAAAGAAAACGAATGATTTGATTTTAATTTCATTTTGTTCCATATTAAACTATATTTTACACATTTGACGTGTACACTTTGACTCTTGATACATTGTTCTTATCGAAAACCTCCCTTAATGTTGGGTTAATATACCATTTTAGCCCCTAATTTTAACTGGCGAGATGATAAAATTAATCCTTAATATTTACATAAATTATCATTTTATCTGTATTTTTCAAATATTTTAGTCCAAACATTTTAATTTTGTCAAAATAACTCTTATTAGATGTAAAATTTTAGTTGATTAACGGTTAACCCATATTATTAATGTACATTTTCACATATATTTATTTGACAATATGACATGTCACATTATGTATCATTTATCATATCAATATCGAAATCATCATTCTTTAATATTTTTTTACCTCTCAATAAACTTCTAACGAACTCACCTCAACAACCCATATCATTCTATCACTTCATATTTTTTCCAAAGTCACTTTAAAATTTACCTCAAATCACTTTTATTTATAATATCTATCTTCTGATCAATTTAGAATTATTATATATAATTCGCTTCATTTTTTATCTCCCCGTTAAAATTTGTGACTATTAGAATTTGAAAAAAAAATGTTTCATCATAAAAAAATCAAAGAAAATTTGAAATCAATAATTTTTTTTCACATACAAAATTAAGATTATTTCATAACTTTTTAAAGATAATACAATTAAGCATTTAACGGCATATTGACTAAATTAGAAAAATAAAGTTCATTCATAAAAATAAATATTTAAATTTTAATGATCAAAACAAAAATAAACAAAAATTGAGTGATGGAAATTATAACTTATCGAGAAATTAAAGTTTACAGTGGCTAAAAAGATATATTTTTTAATAATTTGTGATAATTAAAAGGTATTATCTGTTTAAATATTTCTGTAATAATTGATAATATACATACATACACATACCTTATAAACGCAACTATTTAAACTCAAAATATCTAAAGAGAAAAAAACTTTCCTTAATTGTGCGTTTGGTGTGGCTTAAAAAAAGCACTTTTAGCTATAAAAAATATGTTTTGATCGCAAAATTAACGTCAAACGGGTAAAAATGAAAAACAAAATTGTTGCGGAAACAGTGGTTTCAAACCGATTACAAAAGCTGGGATTTATAGTTTTTTTTACTTTAATTTTAATTTTGACAGCAAGTTATAATTTTATCTTTACTAATACATGAGCTCTACTCAATATTTATTTGTATTTTATTTTAATAATTTAATTCTACATCCTTAAAAATAATTTATTTCAATTACTTAAAAGTAAATAAAATTCATGGTTGATATATTAAAATATTAATAGTGAGTTATTATAAAATATATTTTTATTTTTATTTTATATTTTTATTATAGTTTAAATCAATATATTTCATATATAATCATAATTTATTTGAATTTATTTATAATATATATTATTTTTGAATGGTTAAAAAGATATTATATCATTTAAATTATTTTATTTTAAATTTATAAGAGTAATTATGGTTGAATTGAAATAATTAAAATGCAATGTTAAATTCGCTTTAATAAATTAAATTAAATTTGTAAGCGCTAATGTATTTTTTTAATATTCTTTTTATCAAAAAATATTTAAATTATTATTTCAAAATAATTTATATCCAAGTGTTAAAATAATTGATAATATATTTTTATTAATAATTTTTTTTTGAATTAAAAAGAACAAATCTATCTTAAGTTCGGATATACGATGAGCCTTCTATATCACAGGGCAGCAGCCTCTCAAGTGAAGGTGGGGCAGATTCTAGCAAGGCGACTTCAAATAAACCCAAGGAGAATGACTTTGCAAGGCTGTCAGCAATCTTGTTGGCTTCTTGCGGAATCCATCGACAAGCCGTCTCCCAACAACGTTGTCGGAGATGTGCGATAGCTTGAGCCAGTGAGGGAAGATGCTCAATTGAATGAGGGTCTTCAATAGCTTCCAAACACTCAGCCTGAACGAGAGCGTTCCTAAATCCCAGGTTCCAAGCAAGGCGGAGGCCGGTGTAGATACCCCATAGTTCGGAGTCAAGCAGCAACCGAGACTTTGTTGGAAAAAACACCACCGACAGAGCTGAGGTGGGTTGTGGAGGAGATTGCACCATCCGTATTAATGCAAATCCATCCCACCATTTTCGATTTATAAAAATATTATTAATGAGTTATATGAATTTTTTTTATTACAGTTTAAATTAATATATTTATATATCATAATATTAATATATGTAAATACCGTTTAAATTCTATATTTTTAGTTTACAACATAATAACAAATGTCTATATTGAACATTTTATCTTTTTAAGTTCATTTTTTAACAATAATTTTAAACAATTTTAATGATATTATTCTTAAAATTACCTATTCTTAAGGTTTTAGGATTTCCATCTTCTTTACTTGTTTTTTTATTAATATAAGTATATCGCAGTATCTGTTCGTGCTACTTTACTTGTTAATTTGCTATTTGTTTTGTTTTTATAGGCTTAATATAAAAATAAGTGTTCTATACACTTTTCTCATTTAGGTTCTTAAATTATTTTTGATCAATCTAGAAGTTTAACGTTTTTAACATTACAATTTTAAGTGTCATAACCGTTACCACTATTAAATGACACATATAGCCTTTATAAAAATTTAAAAATTTAATTTTAAAAAAAAAATGATTTTTCAATATTACCTGAGCGTGACACGTGTCACTTAATGATAAAATTTAACATCCATTATAGTCGAGCATCTAAAAGAACAACGTTGAAAATCTTAAACTCCTAAATTAACCGGAAAAAAGTTTAAACATGTAAATAAAAAAAACAATATAGTTTGAATATTTATTTTTATATTAAACTTTTTTTATTTTCCTTTCACAATATTTTTAGTTTAATCCCCCTATGTTACAAGTACATTTTGTGTTGTTTTCATATAAAGGGGAAATCAACTTTGACCCAACATTTTCATGTTTGATTTCATCGAAATAAAAATATTTTTTTTAATATTTTAAAATGATTACAAGATATTATTTATTGATAATTTTTTAAAATTATTAACAGATCATACACATTCTATAAATATAAATTTTCGAATTCAATATTTTAAGAACGAACAAAACTCTCTTAAATACTGAAGTAATTCAATAAATTCTAAAAACTTTTAGTGTTTACATACAATAAAGAAACAAAACGAGACCCAAAATCAAGAACTTATGTTTTTGCCAAAAGTATCTTCAATTATTGGGTCTAATATTTATGGCCTTGAAATTCAGGTGAAGGAAGGTGATACTTAAATTCAATGGATCATAATGAAAATGATTTAAAAATTTTAGGTCTAATGTTTATTAACGATGATGGTTGACACAGTAATCAACTATAATGAGTAATAGTTAGAATATGAGTTGATATCTATGCGATTAAAAAGTTAATAAAAAACTTAAATCAACACATAATTAAAGAGATAATAGTTGAATGATGAAAATAAATAAATTTCCAAAATTAAATGATTAAATTAAAAATTATTTAATATAAATATGAGTTAATAATTTATTTCCAAAGTTAATAATTGAATGATTAAATCAACACATAATTAAGGTAGTTGATGAGTTATTAATTTTCTATTGATAATGGAGATTTTTTAATTATATTTTTATCTATTTCACATCATTTTATGATTAATATTTAATATTAGTAATTATCTTTTCTTCGATAACAATAAATATGAGTTCTTTTGCATGAATTATGCAACTCGACGATAAAAGAATTATTGTTGTTTCTTAAAGTTTTCTGTTTGAATACCATGTATGACACAGTTTTGAGATCAAAATTAATTATATCTTAGTCAGTAAATAATGTTTAGCTCAGATAATTGTCTATTTTTTAACATATAAATACTCGAGTAACTATTTTATAACTTTTAATAATTGAGAGACTCAATAAACAACATCTTATAAGTAGATAATTATTTTATAACTTTAAATAATAAAAAATCTAACAATATAATACTCTATAACTGGGAACTGTTCATGTAATTTACCCATAAAATTAACACGTAAAATTCCTAATGCCTTGGACAATGTTTTTTTCCTTAAAACAAAATTTAGTATTGAGTATTACATAATCTATTTTAAGTGATTTTTTTATTCATTTGAGATAAATACAAGACAATATATGTTTAAATAATTTCAACCATTTCATAATAAATATTCATATTCCAATATTTATGGTGCTCTAATTATTTTAAATATTTAAGTTAGTGAATTGGTTAAAAAATATGAAGAAAAATTAAGGTTTTAAAATTTAAAAATAACAAATAAAGAATAATCAAGAATTAGGCCATCTCCAGCCCTCATATCTACTCTACAACATCTCTATCTCTACTCTAAAGATGAATAAATAATTCATCTCCAGCGCTATCTCTACATTACCACCAACTCTACTTTATTTACAATATTTAACTATTATAATATTGATTTTACAAATATAAAATAAAATATATACATTTATAAAAAAATATTGATTTTACGAAAATATAAATAAATAAAAAAATTACAATTAATAATAATAATACTAAAAACATAAGTTGCATAATTATTTATTTTAATTCTCTGAATTAGAATATTCATTCCACAAATGCTCAATTAATGCATTTCGTAGAGAAAAATTAGTAATATTTATTCAAAAATTAAAAAAACTAAAACTAAAAATCATAAAAAAAAAAGTTTTTTGTAGCGTTGGCAAGCCCAGAGCTCTTCAAAGTGGAGATAGATACAGCGCAACATTGGACCACTCCACAGTGGAGATATGCGCTACAGTAGAGCAGCATTGGAGATGCTCTTAGATTTCAGCAATTAAACCAATATATTAGAAATACAGAGGTGGAAATAAAATAAAATATTCAACGTCTATATAGAATGCTTAACACCTAACAAAATATTTGACGCCTACATACAATTAGATTAAATACAATTTAATTAGTAAAGAGAAATAATTTAAAAATAACTCATCAAAAATTTGTTCTTTAAAAATCTTGAATTAGAAAATTTGAATTTTTACAAAATATGTATATTATTAATAAATTTAGAAAATTCTATACAGATACTTCGTCCATCGATCAATTTTAGAGAACCACGAATTTATAAAATTTTAAAAAGACAAATAAAATTAATGTAATATATAAAAAAAATATCTATAACATATAGTGATTTAAGGTATGTCCTTTATTAGATTGATTTGAGGGTTAAATTTATAATTTTATATAACTTTAGGCCCTTTCTTTCAACACATCTTGTAGATGCATAATCAATGAATGCTAAATTTACGATTGTCAATCGAACTTTGATTAATGCGAATTTTTAGCTCAATCAGTTCATAAAAACAACACTTCGATCCCACCAACAAAGATAACTAGAAGGTTTACCAGAACTTGACATTTATCCTTGGCTAACATCAAATCACGTGCTTGCATCGGCTTCCTTTTTTTCCGATTCCCTGGCACCTTGCTCCTCCGGCTTAGCATTTCTGTCCACCTTGTTTGTATCCGGCTCCGCTGGCTGTGTCTCTTCTTGCTCTACGAATGGTGAAACGTTTAGCCAACAATGAAACCAACGAACCAACAACGAGAGAAGGATGTTCAATGGCAACATACAGCAGGATTCTTACCTTCGTCATCGCTGCTGTCTTCGGAGTCATCCATGCCACCATCCATGCCTCTCATATTACCAAAGCTCTGCAACACACCGCAGTTTATTCGGTCAGAACGGAAATATCCGTAGTTTAATGCTAAAAATTGAAAATTGTCAACCAAGTACTATATATCCGTACCGAGAAGTCCATTCCTCCGAAGTCAATATCGCCAGGACCTAATTAAAACAATTAGTAATCAGAAAGTCGCCAGCTTAAATTGTACAAACATTTAAATCAACTCAATCTGAACATAAAAGCACTATTTTACTCGAACGCTTGGATGCGGGTTTCGGATATGAGCATGATATATTTCTTAATACTTTTGGAGGGTTCTTTGGTGATCATATCATCATACTATTTGAAGAATGAAGAGTCGGAATAATAATAGGAGAAGCATCGGTAATAAAAGACTCACCATTGTCTTCGTCTTCATCAACCCATTTGTCCCAGTCGACTTTAATATAATGGGGAGCCTTGTCATCGCCACGCAATAGTTTTTTCCACCACGCTTTCTCAACCTTCTCCAATACGCAGACAATGTTCCGGACTCCTGCACTAATTTTGCTTTCCTTTTGTCCCGAAATAAATAAGCATACGATAAGAAAATTTCGGTAGATAACTTGCTTAGAAATCAATATCACAACAACAACAACCAAATGTTCGAACTACAAAATGTTTACGACATGCGTACGGGGCATCAACAAGGCAATACCATGCAAAATATTCGAAAAAAGAGGAGATTGTTCGATCGTACAATCAATTATAAGTACACTAATACACCTGAAAATTGAGTTTATAGAACCTAGCACCTTCGGAAAATCGGTGAAAATAAACACCAATCAGAAGCATAATACTACTGGTGTCATCTACCAATCATCAATCATTGATACCCTAGACTCATCCTCATATCCTGAAACATTAGTGTTCAAAAACGTAAAACATTGTTCAACCCCAATCAACCGTATGCAATCTATAATAGAAAGTATACTAACACACCCAAACCGTGAGATCAGGAAATCTAGCAGTTCCAGAAAGAGGTGAGCTGTGAAAATGAGCACAGAGGGACAATTGGCTGGCTAGCAAATGTTCAAAATTCATTTAGAAACAACGAATCATCAGAATAACTACATGAGTACCATCGATCATAATCGTCATCGAATAATAAAAAACCCTAAGATACGAGGCAAATGTTATGTCAACTCTCGGCAATTACTATGGATCAGTAATTCAGTATGTTACCTCCACATTGACCTTATCATGAAGATCCAACTTCAACTCATAAAGGTTATTGTCAGCTCCGGCATTAGCCGAAAAAGTGAACACTCCCTCGGGCTCGAGATTGACCTTGGCGTTCTTCGAATCTGGTAATAGCACCGTAATGTAAACCTTGTCAGCTCTTTCAGCCCACTTCACCTCAGGATGACGACTACAACAACAA